AACACATTTCAAACCCAAAGGGCACAAAGCACGTTCCTTTCCAACTTTCCCAAAACCTCAAATTTGTTCCCATTTATTTGAAGTTTATTGAGGTATCTACCCCCTCCATTTCTAGCCCCAGGTTTTTCTAGGACATTGATATCTATACATCCCACCCCCATCAATTACAGTTTTTAGAGGGCTCAGGGATGGTGAGAGATCATGAAAGAGCTGCCTATATTATAAATTATATATTTTTTTCTTTTAAGGAAAAGTGTGTAGGCTAGGGCAGGCAGGTTGTTAGGACTGAAGGTTTGCCCATTCTGCTGCCTCCATCTCAGCTCCAGCTCCATCCCCCTCTCTCCACAGAAAGCAGTTGGTGACACGAGGTTCTATACTTTTCTTTTCTTCTGTTGCTCTCTTGACTTAACGTGAAAACAGGGTATATTTGAACAAACTGTCTGTCCCAGGCAGGGGCTGGGCAGGGCCTGCGTGCCTTGCTCAGCCTCCTGACAGGACACTTTTGTTGCACTTAGAGTTTACATTTTAATGGATGTAAAAACAACTGTGAGAGATGTCTGGGCCTGCAGAAGTCCAGCATTGCTCAAAAAAGCGTGTGTTCTAGTGAACATTTTCATATATATTTATTGGTTATAGCCTGTTAAAATATTTTCTTTTTTGTATTATTTATCCCCCTACATTATGTATTTATATGAGGGAAAAAAAGGAAAAAATTGTACTTTTTTAGTATTTACTTGTTACAAAGGACATTGTGTTTCCTGTCATGTAAAACCAGCTATTTTAGTTACTATTGTACTCTAGAAAAGAGCTGTAGATTTATGTTAAACTTGTACTTATGAGCAATTGTAATTAGTTCTAAAAGGCATGAACTCAGCTCCTGATTGTCACTGTATAGTCCTGAATTTGTAGAACTAGAGTTAATTCCCTCTTGGAACTTTCTTTGTTCTTCAGTAGTTACTTTTTTCCTTACCTAAAAGGGTTGTCTGTCAAACAATTCTTGAATAAACTTTCTGTTATCAATTTTATCTTGTCCTGGTGGTCCAATTTAGATAGCAGAGCAAGGCTGTTGACTGCCAAATTTCCCCCAAGGGAAGAAGGACAAGGACATTGAAGACCCTTCCCTGGCCTTTTTGTCCACTGCCCAGGTTCCGGTCTCCCCCTTGATATGTCTTAAGTTTAAATACCATTTTCTCACTCATAAGAGCCTGTAACATTTTGCCAACTTCTTTAGCTGTGGTTTAAGTGACAAGTTGGGAGAAGTAAGGGGGACTCTTGGGTGCTGTCTGTAGGTTTTCTGTTTGGCCTCTATGCCTCTAGGTTTTTCATTCATTGACCTTTCGTGTGTTAGTGCCTTTGGCCACAACCTCCATGCACCACCCCCCACCCCTTCCCACTACCAACAAGAAAATCTGGCAGATTACGGTTTCTTCCACGAAACCTAAACTTCTTCGCAATCCTCTTCCGGAGCTACAAAGAAGATGTCACGTGACCCGAAGCCCAACCACCATTGGGTCTAAAATGAAAACAAAGAAAAATGATTAATCTAAAAAAAAAAAATCTGAGGCCTAGACTTCTCAGGTCAAACTTTAAAACTAAGTAAAATTAAATCACTAAATAAAACTCGAGGCGGAGGGAGGGGAAGCACGTTTGATTTCCCCTGCCAGAGAAAGGGGAGAGGAGGGTGGGAGAAGCTATTGGATCTAAGCATAAATAAAACGGTCCCCAGGCTAAAGTGCGGCTCTGTTTCCACCATCCTTGGGAAAACTTCATTTCTTAGTCGTGGTTCCATAAAAGTTTTATCACATTGGAGTGAGAATAGAGAGGGTCTGTCAAAGATGAAATGTCACCGCCGAGTCGCTGGAGCCGATAAGAGCGAGAAGACAGGACGGCTGAAATATGGAGCTAATTCGTTGAAAGAGAAGCGATGGCTGCTTGCTGAAGAGCTGCATAATTCTAATTGTAAGCGATGTGCCTGCATTGCTTAATTAGGAGCATATATTTGGTGGTAGTCATGGTGGGGGAGTGAGAATCATTCCAGGCCCTGCCTTAAAGCGAGGGCTGATTTTCATTTTTATGTTGCATCCTGGCAGTCCAAGGTTAGTAATTATAGTCTTTATGCAACAATAAATAACAATAAAAAAGCAACCTGAATTCTACACCCTCCCCCTTCCCCACCACCAAGTAGGATTTTAACTGGGCTCGGCTCATCCAAGCAGCAAGCAATTTAGCATTGGGTCAGGCTATAATTTAAAGGCATAAGAGCGTGCAAAGTTTGATTGGGATCAAATAATGCTCAAGGGTTTTTCTTTCTTTCTCTTTCTCTCTTCTTCCCTGAAAAACATTTTCTGAATGATATAACTAGATGAAGCACCATGTTTGATTCTGGGTGGAGGGGGGGGGGTTGGGTTGCTTATTTATCTAGCAGGAAAGAGGCCAAGAAAGAGAATTTAGCTTAAGTTTGAAAAACAGAGCTTTGGCTCGGAGCTGGAATTGCAAACAAGAAAAATAAGAACCAACTTGGCTTGGTGTTCCCTATCCTTCTCTTTGGAAGATTCCAGGCGCTCAGCTAAAGCAGCCAAAGACGAGGGTAAAATATCCTTGCTGTAAAATTCACAGCAGGACAGGGGGGCGGGGGAGAGATGTCTCTGAGAAGGAGGGTTCTCTTGGCCCCTTTTAACACCCAAGTTTTCCGCTGTTTGCTAATCTGGCCATAAAATCTGTCAGTAAGGGTTAGAGAGAGCTGTATTTCCTGCAAGGACAGTCTCTGCCCGAGTTGCCCAAGATAAGCTCTGGATCCTTCAGCCAGCTGGAGAAGCTGTTGCTAAACTTTCAGAGGTGTTCAAGGGGATGGCCAGAGGGAGAATCCACTCTCAGGCCTCCCTGCATGACTTCCAGACGCTGCTTACTATTTGGATTCTTCTATGCCCCATCCACACCTCTAAACGGCAATAATTGTTTTATTTGGAGCCGAGTTGCACACTACTGTTGCTGGCCACTTTGCCCAGGTCAGAGTAGCTCTTTCTGTTCTCAGTCCTCCAGAGCATGCCTCCCCGGTCCCTGCAGCCCCCACCTCCAACTCCCCTTTCTTCATCCTCCGCTCCCCCACCCTCATGCTTCTACTCAGACTTCTCTGCTCTTCTTTTTAAATACTCACCACCACCCACGCAGATGTTACATTGACAGAAAGTTTCTAGTTCCAGCTCCGGGCTCAGTTGCCATTTCTCTGCTAACCAGCCTTCTCCTGGCTGGGCTGCAGAGAGAGAGGAGGGGGAGGGGAGGCCAGAGCCGTGGGAGTTCTCCAGGCAAACTTTCCAACCAACTTAGCGCTTTCCCTCTGTCCCCATTTCCCATCTGTTTCCCAGCTCTCCCAGAATCACCTTTCTCTTTTGCACCCCCACCCCCACCCCCACCCCCAGGCCTTTTTAAGAGATGTGAAATTTTGGCTGTTCCCTCTGCTTTCCCAAAGAGCCAAATTCTTTGATGCAATCGGAGGGAGCTGTCAGGGGGCTAAGATTGATCGCCTCATCTCCTCTCCGTCCCTCTGACCCACTTATTTAAAAATCTTCCCCCAGATCGACTTTTCATTTTCTGCTTTGAGGCCTAGTTTCCCACCAATTGCTTGGGGCTTAGAGTCTTGTGCCCTCTTTCTATAGTAAATTACAACACTCTAAACTTCAGACTATCTTGGTCTCCTCAAAATAAAATAAATTTCAAAAGCATTTCCCCTCAGGAGCCAGAAATGGAATATCATCTCAGTGGTCATTATTTCCACCCGCACCATTTTCAGGGAATTCTTCCTTGTCAGGGATTTTTTTTTTTTTAACTAGCACAATGGCAAAAATGGGAGGGAAAGTCTCTTTGTCCTAGGGGAAAAGCTCCCCACCACATTCATGCACACACATACGCTGATCTGAACTTTGAGAGTGCTCTAAGTTAAATCAGTGGCTACCTGAGTTCTTGTTCATGTCCCTGGATATGGATACAGATATGAGCTTGAGGCTTGAGTGGGTACATGCACATCTTAGACTCTGCTTGTTTTCGGGGGGAGGGAGGTGTCACAGAGAAGCATGGATGCCTGAAAGTGAGGAAAGCAGGGGAACATAAGGGGAAGAGGCAGTGCTGCAAACACTGGGCAGAGACGAGAACCCAGGCCACACAGCGATGGAGGCCAGAGGCCCAAAAATGCCCCTCATGCTCCATCTCGCTCTTATGTGTCCGCCTGGGAGTTCCTGTCCATTTCCCAAGATTTAACTGTTGCTTTTGGAGGGTTAACATGGGGATAGTGGTGCTGATGATTATAAATCTCTTTCTTATTTGCACCTTAACACTGACCTTTTTCAAAGAGTGGAAGCCTCTTTCGACTCCCTCTTCCTCCAACGCAGGGATCCTCACTCATCTTTTCTTGGGGAAGGGGAGAAGGGAAGAGGATGCTGCTGGCCACGTAAGCCACGAAAGGAAAGCCTTAATTTACTCTATTAAAACATTTGGAAAAGAGGAAGGTTTCTCCCTTAGAGTCTCTTCTTTTCCAAGCTTTGAAACCTTGTAATCTCCGAAAGGGATGAGGAAGTGGTTTCTCTAGCTTTTCTGGAGAAAGGGAGGCACTGGGGAGAGAGCGTGTGAAGCGCTGGTGTAGGAATGGGGGCTCATGGTGTCCAGGTCATGGTCCTCTGGTGTTTTTGAATCAATTAAAGCAAATAATGCTCTCTGTTTTCCACCAGGCCCAGACGAGCGATTGGCGGAGGCCGGTCCCGTGACCACGAATTCCCTGTAATTTCGCCGGAGTCCTGGGTTTAATAGAGAGAGTCCCCATACGCTTGTATTTATCAGCAATATACAAATATAAAGGCCCAAAATTAAAAAAAAAAAAAAAGAGAGACCGAAATCTCCCCCTCCCAAAATCGCTCCATTACATAAATCTGGGGGGGGCAGGAGGGGGGGTCCCTTCCGATCCTCCCTCCTGACGCCCCCCCCAGCAGCCCCCTCCCCCACCATTGAAAGCCATGAATTTTGAATTTGAGAGGGAGATTGGGTTTATAAACAGCCAGCCATCGCTCGCCGAGTGTCTGACTTCCTTCCCCGCTGTCTTGGAGACATTTCAAACTTCATCAATCAAGGAGTCGACATTAATTCCTCCTCCTCCTCCTTTCGAGCAAACCTTCCCCAGCCTCCAGCCCGGCGCCTCCACCCTTCAGAGACCCAGGAGCCAAAAGCCAGCCGAAGATGGGCCTGCTCTGCCGCCGCCACCGCCGCCGCACCCCGCTGCCCCCCCGGCCCCCGAGTTCCCTTGGATGAAAGAGAAGAAATCCGCCAAGAAACCCAGCCAATCCGCCACGTCTCCTTCCCCGGCCGCCTCCGCTGTCCCGGCCTCCGGGGTCGGATCGCCTGCAGGTCGGTAAGCGTGGTGGGGGTGGGGTGAGGGGCACCCTACAAGAGGGGGAGAAAAAGCAGTGGAAGGAGGTTAAAAAAAAAAAAGGTGGCAAGCCTGTTGGGGTTCCTTATCCCGTCCATTCCCGGGATGGGGAAGAAGAATATCCCACTGGGGGACAGGCCTGGCCGCTGCCAGCGTCTTTTTTTTTTTTTTCCTCTCTCTCTGTCTCTCCCTACAGCTGATTTTGAAAGCTGGTTGGGGAAACGCCTTTTTTCTGCTAGAAGAAAATGATTTGATTGAGGTTTTCATCCGTATCTGTGTAGGGGAATGAATATGTTGTTGATGGGATAGACTCTAGAAGCAGAAAAAGATTCGGTCCTTTCTGCCCCAACTCTAGGAGAAGGGGAAGAATTCAGAGCTAGGGAGGAAGAGGGGTGAAGAACAATCTTTATGACCCTCGCTCCGGTTGAGTTGGAAAGTTCCGAATTGAGGGGTCCACTGGGAGGGCTTGGGAGGGGGGATCTGAGGTTTCGGCGCCGAAGGCAGCGGCTCTCCGCCCCCTGCGTGGCCCGTGGGCGGCTCTGAATGCTTTGCCGTGACCTGGGCCGGGGCTGTCGACTAGGGAGGGAGAGAAGAAAACCCAAAAGCAGTGAAAGCGAGCCGCTGTGGGGTGGGGGCGGGGGTGGGGTGGTGAGGAAAGGGAGAGGTGATACTGATTTTGGCGGATGGGTTAGTCCGAACTAAGGTTGGGCTGAGTACACTGCCCGCTTTGACGCCCAGCTTGTTTTCCCTGCAGATGGCCTGGGACTGCCGGAGGCTGGTGGCGGCGGGGCGCGCAGGCTGCGCACGGCTTACACCAACACACAGCTGCTGGAACTGGAGAAGGAATTCCACTTTAATAAGTACCTGTGCCGGCCACGCCGCGTCGAGATCGCAGCCTTGCTGGATCTCACCGAAAGGCAGGTTAAAGTCTGGTTCCAGAACCGGCGCATGAAGCACAAGCGGCAGACGCAGCACCGAGAGCCGCCGGATGGGGAGCCTGCCTGCCCGGGCGCCCTGGAGGACACCGGCGACCCTGTCA